GATACATTCACCATTACAATTGGTTCCCCAAAATGGAGATTATTTATGACTCGGCTATACACGTCTTTTAGAATCTAACAAGTTACATTGAAAGTATAAAGAAAACATGAGAGAAAATTATTTAAAACCTGTCGTATAAAAGAGTTAAAAATTCGCTTATTATGTGTCTCTATATATTTTGGCCGCGTCAAGTTTTGGCAAGCACTTGAACTCTTCGTCTGGCAGGAAAAAGAAGAATAAATATAAGCCGACTAATTACAGTAAGTTACTTTTTTAAGAGACCAGTGCAATGAAACTATTTCCTATCTCAAATGGGGGTTTAGTTATTAGCCAAAATTTTGTCCATCGCAGCTGGCTAGGTACGTCCCGGAAGGAAAATCTGAGTGCACCTTATTGATATGTGTTTAAGTTTTCTGGCTTGATTACAGAAGGTAACGTACCGCCGCTTTCTTTGATATTTTTCATTCAATAGAAAGAAGAAACAGTAAGTCATTCCGACTAGAGGGTTACTAAATGATGCGTGAAATTCACGACAACTTCTTGACCATAAATACTACTAATATTCTAGAGACTACTAAAATTTTCAAATCTTTCCCCAGACTCTGAAAAGATACATGTCCGAGAGTCAGGAAAAAATTGGTGTTTAAAGGCACCATAGAACGGCGCTTGAATATCGCCGCACTTCGTGCCCGAATTGTCTAAAGCACGTCAGGTCTAACGACGGCTTCCATCTGCCCAGAGTAGCGTAGGTTCGAATCCTACTGGAGAGCACATATTTTTTCTTTAAAGAGATTTTACAATTATTCAGGCCGGTATACGAATATAAATAAATATACTGCTTAATAAATAAACCTACCATTTAAACAAATGCGGGTACCCACGAAAAATAACGTTTAATTATATATATATATATATATATATATATATTGTTGCGTCTGTTGAATATAAATGACTTCAGTCATCTTTAGTCTATTTGGGAATTGGATTAATAGTATATTTTCATATTGTTTGAAAGGACATCTAAAATAAAAACGAATGTATTTTAAGCAGCTCATTGTTTTAAAACAATACTAAAATAAGGCCAAATTGCATAAGAAATAGCATTAATCCAATTACAGAAAATGGTTATGCTCTCGAGAAATCCGATTGAGCTCTCTGGAAAATAGGGTAAGTTTAAAAAACGTGGCTGCTACTGCTATTAACGCATTGCTCTTCAACTATGAATTGAGCTTTCCTGGCTAATGGCTAGAAAACGTTAAAATTCCCCTTTCTCTCTTCTGTACGCCGATAGCTTAGAGGTAGCATCTGGCCAAATCGGTCGAGTTTCGATCCCGGCTTGAAGCAATCAGACGTGACTGAAGAGCTGTGATATAGCGGATGATGATGACTATATATATATATATATATATATATATATATATATATATATATATATATATGTGTGTGTGTGTGTGTGTGTGTGTTTGTGTGTATGTGTGTGTGTGTAACATTTCTGATAGAACATTTCTGATTCTTCCTTGGATCTTATCAAACAAATAGCAGTGTCACCGGACCATATGTGGCAACAACATTCTAAGTATGGGCGAATGGTAGACTTAAAGATTTATAAGATATAAAAGTCTACCATGCCTCGGCAATAATATTGGTCCTGATCTGGCGGCTCGTCTTCAGTCACTTTCCCACCGCCGTAAGGTTGCATCTCTACGCCTCTTCTATGAATCCTTTCATGGTAATTGTTCGGATGAGCTATTCGCTATGGTACATAGAGTTCATGAATTTAAGCGCTGTACTGGACAGGAGTTGAGATCTCACCAATTTGCAGTTGAGCCGGCTAGATATAGCCGTAAGTTCTATGCTAACAGTTTCTTCTCCAGCACTTCTCGGTTGTGGAACTCCGTTCCTGCTCCATACTTTCCAGTCAACTTAATTTGCCAAAATTTAAATGCAATGTAAATCGCTATCTACTGTCCTCCTGATTATTCTTTTCTTATTCCACTCATTGTTAATGTTTCTGTTCGTAATTCCTCCACACCCTTAAACCCCTTGTGTTTTACTGGCTTTACTGCTTTGCATGGTGTGATACCGATTTTAAAAAAAAAACTATAAAATGACAATATAAATGACAATCATCTAAGCCTGTGAGTTTCGAACTCTGAGGCACTTTATCAAGAATTTTATTCTGTCAAATGTATTTATATACAAGTGGAAAACTTTTATTGGTTTTTCAAAATGTTTAAATTTAGCCGAAAAGTATAGGCAAGCTATGGAGGGCGCCAAGTGTCACAGTTCAATATCTAGGAAATGAAAGTCAGTAAATGATTTTCATGAATTTTTTTAATGCAAATTAGTATTGAAATTATTTTAGTTTGGGATTAATCTATGTGTTATATATTTGAAGTAACATGAGGTTATGAATTTAATCATTTTCTTTTAATTTTTTAACATTTTCATAGTCATGTATGCTGGCTTGGGAAAGTAGTAATCCCTTCAGGAATGGAGA